GTCCTCAGGTGTATATCAGTATGTGTGTCTCTACTTTAAAGAGTCCTCAGGTGTATATCAGTATGTAGTGTCTCTACTTTAAAGAGTCCTCAGGTGTATATCAGTATGTAGTGTCTCTACTTTAAAGAGTCCTCAGGTGTATATCAGTATGTAGTGTCTCTACTTTAAAGAGTCCTCAGGTGTATATCAGTATGTAGTGTCTCTACTTTAAAGAGTCCTCAGGTGTATATCAGTATGTGTCTCTACTTTAAAGAGTCCTCAGGTGTATATCAGTATGTAGTGTCTCTACTTTAAAGAGTCCTCAGGTGTATATCAGTATGTGTCTCTACTTTAAAGAGTCCTCAGGTGTATATCAGTATGTAGTGTCTCTACTTTAAAGAGTCCTCAGGTGTATATCAGTATGTAGTGTCTCTACTTTAAAGAGTCCTCAGGTGTATATCAGTATGTAGTGTCTCTACTTTAAAGAGTCCTCATGTGTATATCAGTATGTAGTGTCTCTACTTTAAAGAGTCCTCAGGTGTATATCAGTATGTAGTGTCTCTACTTTAAAGAGTCCTCAGGTGTATAAAAACACAAGGCATTGTACATTGGAGAAATTAAAAGAATAGAAAATCATCAAACATTTACATCCAAAATGTAAATGTTTCAAATTGAAATAAGCATTAAAAAAATATAAAATGTGGAAATACTCATTTACAACAAAATATAAGCAGGATATTATAATTAAGCAGTAGCTCACGACAGGCCGTGGTCTATGCTCATTATATCACAGCTAAGGGGCGTGGTTCAACCCCCTTAGCTGTGATATAATGAGCATATGTCACGGCCTGAAGTGAGCTATTGCTTTTATAAAACGGTTACCAAGTGTGGCAATATGAAAGAAAAATACACACTCTAATTTAAATAGTTTTTATTATTAAATAATGATGTTCAAAATAAAATAGTCCGTCCGTTGCCTTCTGCACGAAACATAGTGCGAGGTGGTTGCTATGCAACAACACTAACAACAGCTAGCGAACATATTAGACAGAGAGCGTTGATCCATTATTTGGCTATTTATCTACATTAATGTGTATGTTGCCGTTTATTGTGCAGCCACTGAAAACCTGTCCAGCATCAGCAGCATGGCTTACGTGGTTACTTGTATAGGCGGAGGTTGTTCTAGGCTGTTCTTTGGCGTGGAGAGAATATTGCTCCACTTTCTCCGGTCCCCGAGATTGGGCTTCCAGTAGCTCTGGAGAGAGCTTTCTCACCTGAGGCCACTAACGGTCATCATTTCTCTGCTTTGTTTCAAGACCCGCATCAGAAAGCTTTTGAATGGTGATACCTTTCCAGTTGGTCTGCCTGCTCTTCACGTCGCTCTACATGTCGTCGTTTAGGTGCTTTTTGTTCTGGAGATAGGCACTGCTCAATCCACTCCTCCATAGTGAGACCCCCCCCCCCTCAATCCACTCCTCCATAGTGAGACCCGCCCCCCCCTCAATCCACTCCTCCATAGTGAGACCCGCCCCCCCCTCAATCCACTCCTCCATAGTGAGACCCCCCCCCCCCCCCCCCCCGGAGGATCTTAAATGTTTTTGCGGACCTTTTTGATTACAGATTTGAAAACATCGTTGCTCGCTTTAAAAGTAGCACACTTCATGATGTCAAACCTTGGAAAGTATCTAAATATCCCTGCCCTAATGCCAAAGGAACTGCACACTGAATATGTTTTTGCCGTTTGATGTCTATGTCTGGACCGCTGCGTAAAAAGGAGGGTTTCTGCCCCGTTACTTCTCCGCTGCTTTCTTGTTCCAGTTCGGTTTGCTTTTCAGCCCAACTGTATACTGTTTATCTCAGACGCGGAGGGATACTGAGTTGTTGTGAAAAGTAACTTACAATTCTACCCGTGGTATACGCTCAGTATACCACGGCTAAGAACCAATCAGATTGCTTGATTTTACTTGTCCGTTTTATAATAAGAGGATATGTCCTCCCCCCGCTGTGAGAGTGACTGAAGCACAGCAGGACTGAGAGGAAATTAGCCTCTTCAGAGGAGGGGGAGGGGGGGGGGGACTGTGAGGAAGACCTCTCTCTCTGGTGACGAAGAGCAGCATCATCATAATCATCGCACTGAGGAAGAGAGAGAGGAGAGAGAGAGGGATGAAGAGTCCCTGATCTAGCATTTTGTCTGCTATCACCAGCTCCTATAATCCTACAAACACACACACACACAGACACACACACACACACGACACACACACACACACACACACACAGACACACACACACACACACACACACACACACGCACACACACACACACACACACACACACAGGACACACACACAACAACCCTCAGACCACACACACACACAAAACACACAACACACACAGACCAACACACAACACAACACCCTCAAGACACACACACACACATACACCGCACACACACAACACACACACACAACACACAGACACACACACAACACCCCTCAGACACACACACAATGACACACCACAACACACACACTACACACCCACACACACACACGACACCACTCACACACACATCACAACACCAGACACATACCCACACACACACACACACAGGACCAACACACACCACACACTCCTCATGACACAACACAACACACACCGCACAAACATCACACACACACACAGACCACACAACACCCTCGACACACACCACCACACACCACCACACAGACAGACAGCACACACACACACACACACACACCCTCAGACACACACACACACACACACACCCTCAGACAACACACACACAAACACACACACACACACACACACACACACACACACACACACACACACAAACACATATAAATATAACAGTACATAATGTGTTTGTATTCCTTTTGTGTGTGTGTGTGTGTGTGTGTGTGTGTGTGTGTGTGTGTGTGTGGGGGGGGGGGCAGTCATCTCTGTTGCTGCTATTTCTGTGTGTTTGGCCTTTTACCTATCCAGCCCTCACTAATATCCTGCCATTAGACACATTATTCTGCGCGTGTGTGTGTGTGTGTGTGTGTGTGTGTGTATGATGTGTGATATTGTATTTAAATGGTATAATGTCTGACTTTTTTTGTCGTCTGTGAGGAAAAGAAATGTCTCTGCTGCGGCCGCAAGGCATTGTGGGGCAGCATTTTCTCCTCTCCTTTCCTAAAGGAAGGTCCAGTGTTTTCCTAAGCTAAAGGAGGTTATAAAGGAAGTTTGAAACCTCCTTTCCTTTCATTTAGAGCAGTGTTTCTCAAACTTCTTCATACCAAGGACCGCTTAACCAATAAAAAAACACTCGCGGACCACCTAACTCCACAAATATCCAAAATCACATCGTTTTTCTAGAATATATTACAAATCGCCTGAAAATGGTACAAACAAGTGGCAACATGTGTGATGAAGGTGTTGCGCTGGGCTACATCATGCAATCGAAAGTCAAACTTAAGCTCGCTCCATTGCGGAGATATTCCCGCGAGAGTGCAGAAAACTTAAATGTATTTATTTATTTCAAATGTGAAATGTTACCAATATACTCACGGACCACTAGGGGGCGCTCACGGACCACCAGTGGTCCGCGGACCACACTTTGACAAGCACTGATCTAAGCCTCATCTCAATACCCCTCCTCGACTCCTCCTTTCCCTCACTCGCGTCCCTTCCTTGCGTCTTAGCTCCGCCTCCGTAAGATGCGAGCGAGAGACACGAGGAGGAGACGCGAGGACAGAGGAGTCCTCAGGTATTAATTGGGATGTCCTCGTTCACGCAAACGTCACTCTTAAACGACGTCTGTTAATGATGACATGTGCACAGCTGTATCCCCTCTCATCGGGCTTAACTGAATAACCTTTAGAACCTTTAGAACCTTTAGAACCGGCCCATTTGTTGTTAAATATGTATTTAAATGATGAATCTTTCTCTTGTTAGTCAAGGAATTCAATGTATGATGGTTGGTCCTGCTTTTGTGTTCCGTTTTGGTGTAAAATGTACATTTCAATGAAATTATAATGATAGTAATGTGAAATCCTTTACTCTGAACATGTGTGTCCTGTAGATCCCCACATTCACCACAAACCCACATTCAGGACTGTGCATTTTAAATAATTTAACTACTGAATATTTTAACACAAAACAAAACAAATAATTGTTATTTATCAAGATCTAGCCATTTATGAAATAGCTTTCTTAATAGCTATGTTTTAGTGACGTTCAAGATCATTAAACATGACTTCAATTGTTAGTATAACCTTAAGAAATGAATTGCACATAATAATTCCCACGGAGCTGTGAGCACTTAGACATTTATGTGACGCTTTTCCACTCATTCTTCCAGTTCTCCGTTTTCCTCTCTTGAAATCGACCAGCTGTGAAGGTGGGGGCGGGGCTTTGATACGCGAGTAGTGAAAACACTTCCGCGTAGTCTGCTCTCGTGTATCCTCCCTCACCCCTCCTCCCGCACCCCTCCTCCCTCACCCCTCCTCGACTCCTCCGTGTGCATTTCAGCTATTGGGACGTCCTTCAAAATGGCGTGTCTTGATCGATTTCCGGGTCAAGTCCCGGAGGAGGGGAAGAGAGGAGTCGAGGAGGGGTATTGAGATGAGGCTCTAGACTGAGAATTCGAACTTATCATGGCTGCTACTGAGGTACTTCCGGGTCATTTCACTCCGTTAGGAAGGTTCCTGAGAGAAACTGACAATTCGACTACAGCCCTGGTTGTTTTTCTAAATGTCTGCTCTCTGTGTCTCCCCCTTCTGGGGTACTACGAAGTGTCCTCATGATCTTTATGTTGTTGTTGTTGGTGGTGTTGTTGTTGTCGTCGTCGTCCGGTTGAAACTAGAACCAGAGCCAACACAAAGCAGAGACTCAGGGAGGCAGTGATCCGACCTAAAACCAGGATATTTAATGTTATCTAGAGATGGATCTGTTTAACTAAACCCAGGATATGAAATCTTTATGTGTTGTTGTTGTTGTTGTTGTCCTGCAGCTGCACACGGACATGGATCGGGGGGACGGTCGCACTAAGTATCTTCTGGAGGGCGAGGGCGTTGGCTCTGTGTTTGTGATCGACGGGAACAGCGGGAACATCCATGTGACCAAGCCTCTGGACCGCGAGGAGAAGGCTGAGTACCGCCTCCTGGCCACGGCCACGGACCGGCAGACGGGACGCGCTCTGGAGCCCTCGTCCACCTTCATCATCCGGGTCCAGGACATCAACGACAACCCCCCCGTGTTCCCCCACGGGCCCTACCTGGCCGTGGTGCCGGAGATGGCCAACATAGGTACTGCAGTGGACGTTAGAAGTACATCGAGCTAAGACCAGTTAGTCTTCAGGGCCAAGTCGAGATCTGATCCGAGGTCTAACCGTTAAAGGAGACCAGAGGCCTGTACTACGAAGCCGGTTCACCCTAACCTGGATATGTTTGAGTTAGCCGGTTGGCCCAATCCAAAACATACGCGCTCTCGCTAAACGGTCCTACGACGCGGGTTATCAAGTGGATTGCTCAAGCCAGCCGTGTCCTATCTAGTTAGGTGCGCGTTCACATAAATGGGGCGGGGTTAGCAACATTTGACCAATCACAGACATGGACAAGCGCACTGACAGCGCAGCGTCATACTTCCTGAATGAAAAGTGAACTTTAATATTAGTCAAATATGAAGAAGTTAAACTTTAAACATCCATGACTTAAACACTTTATCCAGGATCAAAGCCACATAGCTGCACCTGCAAGGTGAATACAGCTGGTAACAGAGAAAGTGTTTGAATGCGTACATTAACAGGTTTATGATATCACTGCCCCGTCCAAGACACGATCTGACTTTAATTACATTTGACTCCAGTGTTTCGTCAACTTAATGTGTTGCTTAAAATAATACTTCTGCATCCAGTATGTGACACTGTGAGTGTTGCACGGCCAGATACAGCTCAGCTGACTCAGATAAGGAAATATATGATACATTATGATGTGATATGATATGAATGATAATGGGACACATCGACGTCTGCACTCACAGTGCCGCGGACTGTACTTAATGTTACTCTGATCCGGTTACTTATGTCGTGGCAGATATTTAAGTAAGCTTTCTTAACGCTAATGTTATAATAGTCAGATTGCTCTGAAGATGGGAGGAGGGGATATTCTATTAATGTTCACGTTCACACAGTCAGTTGATTTTTGCCGGCCGTCTTTCCTGCAACGGCAGTTTTTCTGTATTTCCTCTATCCTGTAATATGACTTGATATCTTTAAACTCTGCACACTGAGCTCTGATTGGTCAGCAGGCGGTGCTTTCACTGAGTTGATCTCTTAGCCTGCAACCTAACCTGCTCCGGACCAGGCTAGCCGCTCAGCATCAGTTACCATGGAGATCTAGCCCGCTAAAAGAGAACCAGCGTCGTAGGACCGGAAAGCCCGAGTTTTCCGTGAAGTTAGCTCAGAGAACATCCGGCTTCGTAGTACAGGCCTCTGGTGTAGTCGCAGGTCTTGAGGATTTATTTAAAGACATCACAGCCTCCAAATCCTCACTTATCTATGCGGTCCACTACCGACTAAGACACACTTAGAACTGGATATAGTCAAATAAAGTACTTTTACACAATACGATAATACGATACGATAATACTTTAAAGGTCAGATGAAGTCTGAAATGCTCCTTGCATCACAGCAGCTCCATGTGTAACATCATCAACAGACAAATATCAAGACACAATACATGAGAAACAAACATGTAACATCACAGCAGGATCAGTGAGAGCTGCTCAAAGAGCCTTCAGCGTGATCTGATCTGGAGCTCTGTGTTCACTGAGAGGACAGACTGGAGCACAGAGGATGCTTCAGGCTGACTTTATTGATCTCCATCAGATGGTAGCAGTTCATATTCTCTGTTAGAGCATGCTTTGGGTCCCAGAGGATGCTGTTGGACAGCCTTATTAGGTTTATTCGGTAATTCAATATTTACCATACCAATACGCCTAAATGCTCTTAGACTAGCCTCTTTAGGGGCTGCAGTCTCTCAGTGTTGTCCTCCATGGAGAGCAGCAGCTGTGCTCCAATTACATTTATTCAGCTCATTATGATCCAAAAACAGCTCTAATACTGCCAGCTGAGAGACTGAACCTCAAAGCTTCATCACAGAGCAGAGACAACACATTTAAAACAAGTGGGATAAAAACAGTTGTGATGATTCCTCCTCTCAGACCTCAGTGATCCGTGCAGTAGTTTCCAGACGTTTCACTTGAATAAACGCTTTAGGGCGACTCTGGTTCTGGTTAACAGGCGTCTGTGGTTTCTGGTTAACAGGCGACTCTTGGTTCTGGTTAACAGGCGTCTGTGGTTTCTGGTTAACAGGCGTCTGTGGTTCTGGTTAACAGGCGACTCTGGTTCTGGTTAACAGCGTCGGTGTTCTGGTTAACGGCGTCTGTGGTTCTGGTTAACAGGGCGTCTGTGTGTTCTGGTTAACAGGCGTCTGTGGTTCTGGTTAACAGGCGTCCTGTTGGGTCTGGTTAACAGGCGTCTGTGGGTTCTGGTTATCAGGCGTCTGTGGTTCTGGTTAAACAGGCGTCTGTGGTTCTGGTTAACAGGCGTCTGTGGTTCTGGTTAACAGGCGTCTGTGGTTCTGGGTAACAGGCGTCTGTGGTTCTCTGTTAACAGGCGTCTGTGGTTCTGGTTAACAGGCGTCTCTGGTTCTGGTTAACAGGCGTCTCTGGTTCTGGTTAACAGGCGTCTGTGGTTCTGGTTAACAGGCGTCTGTGGTTCTGGTTATCAGGCGTCTGTGGTTCTGGTTAACAGGCGTCTGTGGTTCTGGTTAATAGGACGGCTCTGTACACATATTCTGGTTAACAGGCGTCTGTGGTTCTGGTTAACAGGCGTCCTGTGGTTCTGGTTAACAGGGTCTGGTTATCAGGCGTCTGTGGTTCCTGGTTATCAGGCGTCTGTGGTTCTGGTTAACAGGCGTCTGTGGTTCTGGTTACAGGCGTCTGTGGTTCTGGTTACAGGCGTCTTGTGGTTCTGGTTAACAGGCGTCTGTGGTTTCTGGTTAACAGGCGTCTCGTGGTTCTGGTTAACAGGCGATCTCTGGTTCTGGTTAACAGGCGTCTGCTGGTTCTGGTTAACAGGGCGTCTGTGGTTCTGGTTATCAGGCGTCTGTGGTTCTGGTTAATCAGGCGGTCTGTGGTTCTGGTTAACAGGCGTCTGTGGTTCTGGTTAATAGGCGTCTGTGGTTCTGGTTATCAGGCGTCTGTGTTCTGGTTATCAGGCCGTCTGTGGTTCTGGTTAACAGGCGTCTGTGGTTCTGGTTACAGGCGTCTCTGGTTATGGTTTAACAGGCGTCTGTGGTTCTGTTTAACAGGCGTCTGTGGTTCTGGTTATCAGGCGTCTCTGTTCTGGTTATCAGGCGTCTCGTGGTTCTGTTTAACAGGCGTCTGTGGTTCTGGTTATCAGGCGTCGGTGGTCTTCTGGTTAAACACGTCTGTGGTTCTGGTTATCAGGCGTCTGTGGTTCTGGTTATCGGCGTCTCTGGTTCTGTTTAACAGGCGTCTGTGGTTCTGGTTATCAGGCGTCTGTTGTGTTTGGTTAACAGGCGTCTGTGGTTCTGGTTAACAGGCGTCTGTGGTTCTGGTTAACAGGCGTATCTGGTTCTGTTAACAGGCGTCTGTGGTTTCTGGTATCAGGCGTCTGTGGTTCTGGTTAAAGGCGTCTGTGGTTCTGTTAAACAGGCGTCTGTGGTTCTGTTTAACAGGCGTCTGTGGTTCTGGTTAACAGGCGTCTGTGGTTCTGGTTAACAGGCGTCTGTGGTTTGGTTAACAGGCGTCTGTGGTTCTGGTTAACAGGCGTTGTGGTTCTGTTTAAAGCGTCTCTGGTTCTGGTTAACAGGCGTCTGTGTGGTCTGGTTAACAGGCGTCTCTGGTTCTGTTTAACAGGCGTCTCTGGTTCTGTTTAACAGGCGCCTCTGGTTCTGTTTATCAGGCGTCCGTGGTTCTGGTTAACAGGCGTCCGTGGTTCTGGTTAACAGGCGTCTGTGGTTCTGGTTATCAGGCGTCTGTGGTTCTGGTTAACAAGCGTCTCTGGTTCTGGTTAACAGGCGTCTGTGGTTCTGGTTATCAGGCGTCTGTTGGTTCTGGTTAACAGCGCGTCTCTGGTTCTGGTTAACAGGCGTCTTGTGGTTCTGGTTATCAGGCGGTCCGTGGTTCTGGTTAACAGGCGTCTGTGGTTCTGGTTAACAGGCGTCTGTGGTTCTGGTTAACAGGCGTCTGTGGTTCTGGTTAACAGGCGTCTGTGGTTCTGGTTAACAGGCGTATCTGGTTCTGTTTAACAGGCGTCTGTGGTTCTGGTTAACAGGCGTCTGTGGTTCTGGTTATCAGGCGTCTCTGGTTCTGTTTAACAGGCGTCTGTGGTTCTGGTTAACAGGCGTCTGTGGTTCTGGTTAACAGGCGTCTGTGATTCTGGTTAACAGGCGTCTGTGGTTTGGTTAAACAGCGTCTCTGGTTTGTGTAACAGGCGTCTCTGGTTCTGTTTAACAGGCGTCTGTGGTTCTGGTTAACAGGCGTCTGTGATTCTGGTTATCAGGCGTCTGTGGTTCTGGTTAACAGGCGTCTGTGGTTCTGGTTAACATGCGTCTGTGGTTCTGGTTAACAGGCGTCTCTGGTTCTGTTTAACAGGAGTCTGTGGTTCTGGTTAACAGGCGTATTGGTTCTGTTTAACAGTTGCGTCTGTGGTTCTGGTTATCAGGCGTCTGTGGTTCTGGTTAACAGGCGTCTGTGGTTCTGGTTATCAGGCGTCTGTGGTTCTGGTTAACAGGCGTCTCTGGTTCTGGTTATCAGGCGTCTGTGGTTCTGGTTATCAGGCGTTCTGGGTTAACAGGCGCCCGTGGTTCTGGTAACAGGCGTCTGTGGTTCTGGTTATCAGGCGTATCCGGTTCTGTTTAACAAGGCGTCTGTGGTTCTGGTTATCAGGCGCCGTGGTTCTGGTTAACAGGCGTCTGTGGTTCTGGTTATCAGGCGTCTGGGGTTCTGGTTAACAGGGCGTATGTGGTTCTGGTTAACAGGCGTCTGTGGTTCTGGTTAACAGGCGTCTGTGGTTCTGGTAACAGGCGTCTGTGGTTCTGGTTATAACAGCGTCTGTGGTTCTGGTTATCAGGCGTCCGTGGTTCTGGTTAACAGGCGTCTGTGTTCTGGTTATAGGCGTCTGTGGTTCTGGTTATCAGGCGTCTGTGGTTCTGGTTAACAGCGTCTGTGGTTCTGGTTAACAGGCGTCTCTGGTTCTGTTTAACAGGCGTCTGTGGTTCTGGTTACAGGCGTCTGTGATTCTGGTTATCAGGCGTCTGTGGTTCTGGTTAACAGGCGTCTGTGTCTGGTTAACAGGCGTCTGTGGTTCTGGTTAACAGGCGTCTCTGGTTCTGGTAACAGGCGTCTGTGGTTCTGGTTAACAGGCGTATCTGGTTCTGTTTAACAGGCGTCTGTGGTTCTGGTTATCAGGCGTCTGTGGTTCTGGTTAACAGGCGTCTGTTGTTCTGGTTATCAGGCGTCTGTGGTTCTGGTTAACAGGCGTCTCTGGTTCTGGTTATCAGGCGTCTGTGGTTCTGGTTATCAGGCGTCTGTGGTTCTGGTTAACAGGCGTCTGTGGTTCTGGTTAACAGGCGTCTGTGGTTCTGGTTATCAGGCGTATCCGGTTCTGTTTAACAGGCGTCTGTGGTTCTGTTATCAGGCGCCCTGGTTCTGGCTGACAGGCGTCTGTGGTTCTGGTTATCAGGCGTCTGTGGTTCTGGTTAACAGGCGTCTGTGGTTCTGGTTAACAGGCGTCTGTGGTTCTGGTTATCAGGCGTATCCTGTTCTGTTTAAAGGCGTCTGTGGTTCGGTGGCATTGGCGTTGGGTTCTGGTTAACAGGCGTATCCGGTTCTGTTTAACAGGCGTCTGTGGTTCTGGTTAACAGGCGTCTGTGGTTCTGGTTAACAGGCGTCTGTGGTTCTGGTTAACAGGCGTCTGTGGTTCTGGTTATCAGGCGTATCCGGTTCTGTTTAACAGGCGTCTGTGGTTCTGGTTATCAGGCGTCTGTGGTTCTGGTTAACAGGCGTCTGTGGTTCTGGTTACAGGCGTATGTGGTTCTGGTTAACAGGCGTCTGTGGTTCTGTTAACAGGCGTCTGTGGTTCTGGTTAACAGGCGTCTGTGGTTCTGGTTAACAGGCGTCTGTGGTTCTGGTGTAACAGGCGTCTTGGTTCTGTTTAACAGGCGTCTGTGGTTCTGGTTAAACAGGCGTATCTGGTTCTGTTTAACAGGCGTCTGTGGTTCTGTTTAACAGGCGTCTGTGGTTCTGGTTAACAGGCGTCTGTGGTTCTGGTTAACAGGCGTCTGTGGTTCTGGTTACCAGGCGTCTGTGGTTCTGGTTAACAGGCGTCTGTGGTTCTGGTTAACAGGCTCGTCTGTGGTTCTGGTTAACAGGCGTCTGTGGTTCTGGTTAACAGGCGTCTGCTGGTTCTGGTTAACAGGCGTCTGTGGTTCTGGTTTAACAGGCGTCTGTGGTTCTGGTTAACAGGCGTCTGTGGTTCTGGTTAACAGGCGGTCTGTGGTTCTGGTTAACAGGCGTCTGTGGGTTCTGGTTAACAGGCGTCTGTGGTTCTGGTTAACAGGCGTCTCTGGTTCTGTTTAACAGGCGTCTGTGGTTGTATCAGGCGTCTGTGGTCGGTTTAACAGGCGCCTGTGGTTCTGGTTAACAGGCGGCTGTGGTTCTGGTTAATCAGGCGTCTGTGGTTCTGGTTAACAGGCGTCTGTGGTTCTGGTTAACAAGGCGTCTGTGGTTCTGGTTAACAGGCGTCTGTGGTTCTGGTTATCAGGCGTATCCGGTTCTGTTTAACAGGCGTCTGTGGTTCTGGTTATCAGGCGTCTGTGGTTCTGGTTAACAGCGTCTCTGGTTCTGGTTACAGGCGTCTGTGGTTCTGGTTATCAGGCGTCTGTGGTTCTGGTTAACAGGCGTCTGTGGTTCTGGTTAACAGGCGTCCTGTGGTTCTGGGTTAACAGGCGTCTCTGGTTCTGTTTAACAGGCGTCTCTGGTTCTGTTTAACAGGCGTCTGTGGTTCTGTTAACAGGCGTCTGTGGTTCTGGTTAACAGGCGTCTGTGGTTTCTGGTTAACAGGCGTCTGTGGTTCTGGTTAGCAGGCGTTCTCTGGTTCTGGTTAACAGGCGTCTTGGTTCTGTTAACAGGCTCTATGTCTGTTTAACAGGGGCGTCTGTGGTTCTGGTTATCAGGCGTCTGTGGTCTGGTTAACAGGCGTCTGTGGTTCTGGTTATCAGGCGTCTCTGGTTCTGTTTAACAGGCGTCTGTGGTTCTGGTTAACAGGCGTCTGTGGTTCTGGTTAACAGGCGTCTGTGATTCTGGTTAACAGGCGTCTCTGGTTCTGTTTAACAGGCGTCTCTGGTTCTGTTTAACAGGCGTCTCTGGTTCTGTTTAACAGGCGTCTGTGGTTCTGGTTAACAGGCGTCTGTGGTTCTGGTTAACAGGCGTCTGTGGTTCTGGTTAACAGGCGTCTCTGGTTCTGTTTAACAGGCGTCTGTGGTTCTGGTTATCAGGCGTCTGTGGTTCTGGTTAACAGGCGTCTGTGGTTCTGGTTAACAGGCGTCTCTGGTTCTGTTTAACAGGCGTCTGTGGTTCTGGTTAACAGGCGTCTGTGGTTCTGGTTAACAGGCGTCTGTGGTTCTGGTTAACAGGCGTCTGTGGTTCTGGTTATCAGGCGTCTGTGGTTCTGGTTAACAGGCGTCTCTGGTTCTGTTTAACAGGCGTCTGTGGTTCTGGTTATCAGGCGTCTGTGGTTCTGGTTAACAGGCGTCTGTGGTTCTGGTTAACAGGCGTCTGTGGTTCTGGTTAACAGGGCGTCTCTGGTTCTGTTTAACAGGCGTCTGTGGTTCTGGTTATCAGGCGTCTGTGGTTCTGGTTAACAGGCGTCTGTGGTTCTGGTTAAACAGGCGTCTGTGGTTCTGTTTAACAGGCGTCTGTGGTTCTGGTTAACAGGCGTCTGTGGTTCTGTTTAACAGGCGTCTGTGGTTCTGGTTAACAGGCGTCTGTGGTTCTGGTTAACAGGCGTCTGTGGTTCTGGTTATCAGGCGTCTGTGATTCTGGTTAACAGGCATCTGTGGTTCTGGTTAACAGGCGTCTGTGGTTCTGGTTAACAGGCGTCTCTGGTTCTGGTTAACAGGCGTCTGTGGTTCTGGTTATCAGGCGTCTGTGGTTCTGGTTAACAGGCGTCTGTGGTTCTGGTTATCAGGCGTCTGTGGTTCTGGTTAAAAGGCGTCTGTGGTTCTGGTTAATAGGCGTCTGTGGTTCTGGTTATCAGGCGTCTGTGGTTCTGGTTAACAGGCGTCTGTGGTTCTGGTTAACAGGCGTCTGTGGTTCTGGTTAACAGGCGTCTGTGGTTCTGGTTAACAGGCGTCTGTGGTTCTGGTTATCAGGCGTCTGTGATTCTGGTTAACAGGCGTCTGTGGTTCTGGTTAACAGGCATCTCTAATGTCACAGCTGGCGGGACTGAAATAGCATGACATACAAGGTTATTGTTAATAACTGTAAAACATATATATTAATAAGCTCATCTATCATACTCATTGACTTGCCAATACAAACAGGAGCTGTGAGGAGCTTTGGATGAAAGCGTCTAAAAAATGACATGTAATGTAATGTAATGTAATGTAATGTAATGTAATGTAATGTAATGTAATATAATGTAATGTAATGTAATGTAATGTAATATAATGTAATGTAATGTAATGTAATATAAAACTTAATGTAATGTTTCAACAGAAACTCATCTGCTGGGAAATGAATTGATATGAAAGCAGATGCAGATTAATCTTCAGTCAAAAACTGAAGCTGTTAATCTGCGTAGGGTTGCAGATATATATATATACAATATTTAACCAGGTAAAAATGGTGCGTCTCCTCCTTCAGGCAGAGAGAGGTATTACAATCTGTCCACATGATCTTGATGTGTTGTTATTGTTGTTGTCCAACATAAAGCACAGAGACTCAGGAGTCCCACCTAAAACCTAAAAGGAGGACATTGAATGCTTTCTGGAGATGGATCTGTTTACCTAAATTGTGCCAGTTTTTAATGTTTTATAATAGTTTCTTTTATTTTGCAGATGGACTTAATGTCCCATGTTTTCCTCCGCCTGTATTGTTTTGTGTTCATTAGTTGTAACTTTGTTCGTTCTGCCCTGTTGGCCAGGTCGCTCTGGAAAAGAGATTTTAATATCAATGACACTTTTACCTGGTTGAATAAAGGGTATAAAAGCAGGGTATTTGATGTAAGCTAGAGATGGATCTGTTTAACTAAACCCAGGATATTGAATGTTTTCTAGAGATGTGTCCCCCCAGCAGAGATGATCCTGTAGTCCTGCAGAAGCCTCGATGCTCTGCAGAGACATGTATCATGTCGTGTGACTCTAAGCAGCTTTCAGCACTTTACCCTGTCTCCTCTCAGGGACGTCTATAATCACGGTGACGGCGCGCGACGCTGACGACCCGGCGTACGGGAACAGCGCCCGGCTCGTCTACTCCCTCACTCAGGGACAGGACTTCTTCTCCGTGGACCCTCAGACCGGTCAGTCAACCAATCAGGAGAGAATGATGACATCACAGAACACACAAAATCAGAGTCAGAATCAGAACCTTTATTCGTCCCACAGAGGGGAAATGTACATTGTTACATCAGAAAAGAGCCAAAGACAGCTTATTTCTAAGAAGCATGCATACAAAAATATTAAAGATAAAAATTACACAATTTACAAAATACACATCCTGTAACAGTTCTGATGATTTAGCAGCCAGGAATGTATTGCACAGTTATTAACGGCATATATATATATTGCACATAGTTGGTTGGTATTTAACAACAAGGGGTGTTAGAGTCTTTGTGTGTGTGTGTGTGTGTGTGTGTGTGTGTGTGTGTGTGTGTGTGTGTGTGTGTGTGTGTGTGTGGGTGTGTGTGTGTGTGTGTGTGTGTGTGTGTGTGTGTGTGTGTGTGTGTGTGTGTGTGTGTGTGTGTGTGTGTGTGTGTGTGTGTGTGTGCGTGCGTGCGTGCGTGCGTGCGTGCGTGGGGGTCTACTAGGGGCCGTGGTGGTTATATAGTCTGACCGCTGCAGGAAGGATATATAAGTATTTATTGCCGGGTAAACACAGATGAATGTGATGGTGTTTGGCGATTAGACCGCGTTGAGATGGAATATCACTGATTGAGAGGAGAGAGCTGGGAATATGTGAATGGTTGAATTTACGCTAAACTTCGTTAATCCCAGAGTCAGATTACACATCATATGCTGGGATTAGAGCCAGATGTGTGCCTGATCTCTCATCTCTGCATGGTGTTGACTTCCTGTCCGTCTGTTAACCTCTTCCCCTCGCTCCTCTGATCCTCCCTAGCAGCAGTGTGTTATCCAGTATTAACAACCTGTGAAATGTCCAAACTGACCAATCAGAATTGAGTATTCCCCTAAACCTGATTCTCATTAAACTTCCTGAATCTGTTTAGCCCTGAGCCTGTTTTTCAGGTCTCAGGCTCGAAAATGACATTCCCAGAACAAATGACCATATCTTCCCTTCTAAAAGGGTTAAATTAATAATCTTTGTTATCAAAGTAATGATAAACCTGTGAGCTGGATTTAGAAAAGTCAGAATCAATATAGATGTTTTTTATTTTAAAGAAAATTCAGATTTTACATAGTAAAAAACTGTAAATTATAGTGTCCGTCCAAATTATGTTTTACTTATAGTGAAAACTACCCTTGGATGATGGGTTAGTAGACTAAAAGCTTTAGGAATCCAAAGTACAACATATAATAAGTACCCTGTATCAAGATTGATGCAAAACAAGTGACATTTGACCTTTTTAGAGAGATTTAGCACAAAAAAAATACTTCTGAGGTCATTTGGGTGGATTTTCCATATCTCTGGCCCCCCTTGCTCGATTTTGATGGTTGACACCTCTTTCTGACCGTTAGAGCCAACAGAATTGAGGGGAAGTTCCACATACACACACAGGTTACCAAATAAGGAGTGAGAGTGACGCGTAGAAAAACCGGAAGCTGCGATACACTCTGGTGGCTACCATTAGCAGCTAATTTTTATTCTCCGATTTTTGCATAAAAATTGAATTATGGATTATCAATAATTCTTTCAAAGTGACAGACACATTGGATTAACCTATGGATTAACCTTCAGCCGTGTTTTTTCTCGTTTTAATGCCATTGAACACGACTTTTGATCAGTATAACAGCTAAGGTGAGCATATCTCCGTGTTTTGCTACCTAAAGCTACTCGTGTGTTGTCTGTATTTGCTTCCCTTGTCACGAGTTCTAATCGTTCAGTGATGATACTTATATTTCTATAATCTGTGGACTCTCAGGATGTTAGCTAAACTTGTTTGTGCAGATCCAATAAGTATATCCAGGGGTGCACATAACTGGTACGCAGGTACGCATGCACGGCAACAATCTGAAATGCGTACCGTCACTTGTGTCACAAAGTGCATTTGCGTACCGACGTACTTGTGAAGCTTTTCCAGAAGGCGGTTAGATCACCGGACGACAGAGTCGGTCTCCGTGTGCACAGACAGGGCTGCTGTTAACGTCGGTCTGTACAGCAGCCCTGTGCTAAAACAGCTGATCACAACGTTCACACGCTCTGCTGTCACGAAGCTCTGTACCCCCCCCCCCCCCCGTTGACAATCGTGAAGCGCTGTACTCCACTCCACATCTTCCCTGTTATGGTTGGTTGTTACGTCCTCACTAGGGATGAGGAAATGCAACACACACCAGTTGGAATTGGTAATAATTATAAAGGAGTTTATTATATAGCAGGATAACAAAATGGAAGGCAAGCAACTTGAAACAAACAAAAGGGCCACAAGGGCGCGGGTTTAACTGAGCACCCAAACAAAGGGAGGACTCTAAAAAGGGAGCCTACTTAAATACAAAGAAATATGCCCTAATCAACAAATAACAACCCTCACTCTTAAAGTGGTACAGTCTAACGAAAAGGAGGCTGTAGGAAAACAGCTAAGCTAAATGACCGCAGTCAACGTAAATGCTAAACTACTCTAGACACATCTAATCATAACCACACTACTAAACACGGACCACACGAGTTAACCACTGTTAACAGATTTGTACACAATCAAAGAGCACGTAGCGAGAGGCGTCTGTTCACACAACAGAGCCTCCCGACTGATCGCTGTCCACAGGCTTTGTAGTCGTCTCCGGAAGGTGTGCGCCGGATGTGCGCTGGGATTGGAGTGCGTCGGGCCCGGCGTGCTCCAATCACAATCTTCGGGGGCGGACCAGGAGATGGGTAGCCAATGACATCAGGGCAACCACACAGCTCATTTACATAAAACACATTCAAAACAGAGTTACCAGGACCGGGGAGCCGTAACATTGGTTTATTCATATAAAGCACTTTTCAGAGACAAAGGCCATTCAAAGTGCTTTACATATACACAAACACATAATAATTAAAAAACAGACAAGAATACTACAACCACAGACATTAGAGATAACACATTTCAGTCCGCAGAGAGGCCATAAACAAGTACAGCTGCCCAGCGATAAAATAATAAACACAAACTCAGTGTTTTGTACGTGTTAACTCGTGGATAAGCATGAACGGGAGGGGTGTGGTGCAGTGGGTTGTGCGTTGGTGTTGGGATCAGGGGGTCACAGGTAGGGCTGCTCGATTATGGCAAAAATCATAATCTCGATTATTTGGGTCAATAATTGATATCACGATTATTAAAAACGATTATCCATTTACTTTGAAAACATCCATTTATTGAAAAGAAAAATTTGTTTTGTTTTTAACAGTTGATTACCCTGAACTTTAAGTATAATTAAACTGAAAAACCAATAAAAAAAAGAATTAAAAAAAATATATATATATTATCGTTTTATTTCGATTATGTTTTTTTCATAATCTTTGCAAGCCAAAATCGTAATTGCGATTAAAATACGATTAATTGAGCAGCCCACAGGTCACAGGTTCAAACCCCACTGCAGTCAGCATGTCGTTGTGTCCCTGAGACACTTCACCCCAAAGTGCTCCTGTGGGGATTGCCCACAGTATTGAGTAGTAAGTCTCTTTGGATAAAAGCGTCTAACAAGTAACATGTCATGTCATGTAAAAGTTAAAAGCAAAGAAGACAAATCATTTTAAACATGTGAAAAGAAGTTAAGCATTGTGTGTTTGGTGGTACATGATTCCAGTCTGGAGGAGCTTTCAACACACAGAATAATCATCTCATACCAGTTTATACCCTTCATGAAGTCTTGAAACCTTAACGTTCATTAACAGAAGACGTATTCCGTGGCTGCTGGTCCTAACAGTGCTCTCTACACCATGCTTTCATTATGTTCATACTTTAGTTTTGGGAGAAGGGATTCAACAAGTGTAAACTTCTTCCTCCTTTTCAGATGTGTAATCAGATCATTTGTTTATATATCATTTGTAAGTCAGAAATATTTTTGTTTATTAATTTGACAATGCTTAAGTTTCTACAGCATCATAATTCTCATTATTATTATTATTTTGTTGTATTATTGTTTTACACGTTCTAAATAAAACAAATCAAATCAAATTATTCCCTCAGTTTCCAAAGATCATTTACGTATATCTGTTGAAGTAGTGGTGTGTCTGCAGAGCCTCTGATTGGTCAGATCAGGTCTCTGATGTGAGCCTCTGATTGGTCAGATCAGGTCTGATGCTCAACCTGAGCCTGTTCTAATGTCCTGATTCTGATGCATGTGACCTCACTGTGACGCTAACCTCGGAGACGTTTGGTCCGCACTGAAATATGTCCCCGCTGTGATCTTTACCCCCACCCCCCTATCCCCCCTCTCTGTGACAGAAACCAGCAGGGACATTTTTGACCCACAGGAAATAAGACTTGTATTATTATACCATAAGACTGTTGTACTCTCAACTTCATCGCATTCATCTGTTAGCATCTCACATTTGATCTAGTATCACAATAAGCAGTATTGTATTTCAAGAACAAGATCTGAGTACTTCTACTTTTACTCAAGTACAAGATCTGAGTACTTCTCCTTTTACTCAAGTACCAGATCTGAGTACTTCTACTTTTACTCAAGTACAAGATCTGAGTACTTCTACTATTACTCAAGTACAAGACCTGAAGTACTGCTCTCCTTTTACTCAAGTACAAGATCTGAGTACTTCTACTTTACTCAAGTACTCAGATCTGAGTACTTCTACTATTACTCAAGTACAAGATCTGAGTACTTCTACTTTTACTCAAGTACAAGATCTGAGTACTTCTACTATTACTCAAGTACAAGATCTGAGTACTTCTACTATTACTCAAGTACAAGATCTGAGTACTTCTACTTTTACTCAAGTACAAGATCTGAGTACTTCTACTATTACTCAAGTACAAGATCTGAGTACTTCTACTTTTACTCAAGTACCAGATCTGAGTACTTCTACTTTTACTCAAGTACAAGATCTGAGTACTTCTACTATTACTCAAGTACAAGACCTGAGTACTTCTCCTTTTACTCAAGTACAAGATCTGAGTACTTCTACTATTACTCAAGTACAAGATCTGAGTACTTCTACTTTACTCAAGTACCAGATCTGAGTACTTCTACTATTACTCAAGTACAAGACCTGAGTACTTCTCCTTTTACTCAAGTACAAGATCTGAGTACTTCTACTATTACTCAAGTACAAGATCTGAGTACTTCTACTTTTACTCAAGTACAAGATCTGAGTACTTCTACTATTACTCAAGTACAAGATCTGAGTACTTCTACTATTACTCAAGTACAAGATCTGAGTACTTCTACTATTACTCAAGTACAAGATCTGAGTACTTCTTCACCTCTGCTTGCAGTATTCTTGTTGTTTTATAAATGTGTTTTATTGTTTATGTCTTATATATATATATATAGTATTATTGGAAACCCTGGGACTTCTCCTCTGTAGATATTAAACCCTCTGATCGTGTGTGTGTGTGTGTGTGTGTGTGTGTGTGTGTGTGTGTGTGTGTGTGTGTGTGTGTGTGTGTGTGTGTGTGTGTGTGTGTGTGTGTGTGTGTGTGTGTGTGTGTGCGTGCGTGCGTGTGTTTCTGTTCTCCAGGCGTTCTGAGGACCGCCGTGCCCGACATGGACCGTGAAACCCGGGATGAATATGTTGTGGAGCTGCAGGCCAGAGACATGGGGGGGCATCAGGGGGGCCTGTCAGGGACGACCAGCATCACCGTCAGGCTGAGCGATGTCAACGACAACCCCCCCCACTTCAGGAGGAGTAAGCACGATGATGATGAAGATGATGATGATGATGATGAGGATGATCAAAGTCAACTTTATTGCCAATCTCTCAGTTTGTGTGTACAGAGAGATCGAAAAACCGTTTCCCACAATCCCAAATACAAAAATTATTTGGGATTGGATATTCAATATAAGATATATAAAAATATGTATATCCTATATATACACAATCAGCAGACACATTTATACATCAGCACACATTAAGACATACATAAAAGCACAACAATCAATAAATACAAAATAACAGTCACTTCAATATCTTTGAGAAATGCACATTTGTGCAGACTGTCCATGGCAGCGTGACTGTGTGTGTGTGTGTGTGTGTGTGTGTGTGTGTGTGTGTGTGTGTGTGTGTGTGTGTGTGTGTGTGTGTGTGTGTGTGTGGGGGGGGGGGGGGGTTTATAGTCCAGTGGGGGCAGGGGGGAGAGTTCAGCCTGATGATGATGATTAGATGAGACTCACATGTCCTCGCACAGAGAGCAGCTCCAGTTTGCATCGAGCAGAGAGGAGACTCGACGTACAGGATGTTCACATGTTAGGGTTTAACCGTTTAAGAAAATATCAAGTAAATATTTATGGCTAAATTGCAGCGTTAAGACATCCCAGCATCTCATCTGACAACATCAACAACGACAAAAACTAAGACTTTAACACAGAAAGAGGGGACACTAAAGAGTGACGCACACATCTGGAGACCAGAGGACACTAAAGAGTGACGCACACATCTGGAGACCAGAGGACACTAAAGAGTGACGCACACATCTGGAGACCAGAGGACACTAAAGAGTGACGCACACAGCTGGCAGACCAGGGGTGTTTCTCAATCGCGAGTACGCTTGCTTGGTAGCACATGTCTGCCGAGCATCTTGCTTCAGAAGCGAGTCAAGAATACTTCCTGGCATTTGGAAAACAAAGAGTGGAACAGGCGAGCAAGTGTGCAGGTGTGCGTCATATGAGAGGCCCCGCCTCTTACATCTTCCACCACAGATTTGGGGAAATTGGTCCGTGCGCAAAGCATTGTGGGGATTTTAAGACCGCGGAGTCTGCTCATGTGCAGCCTCGATATTTCTCCAAACGGAGTACGCCGGGCTCGGTAGATTTCCAAGTATGCTGGAGATTGGAACAGTACTTCGGAGGCACTCGATGACGTAGCATGCTTGAAATAGTGGCTCTGAAGCACCTTTACTCGCGATTGAGAAAACACCCCAGGGGACACTAAAGAGTGACGCACACAGCTGGCAGACCAGGGGACACTAAAGAGTGACGCACACAGCTGGAGACCAGGGGACACTATAGAGTGACGCACACAGCTGGGAGACCAGAGGACACTAAAGAGTGACGCACACAGCTGGGAGACCAGGGGACACTAAAGAGTGACGCACACAGCTGGAGACCAGGGGACACTAAAGAGTGACGCACACAGCTGGGAGACAAGGGGACACTAAAGAGTGACGCACACAGCTGGAGACCAGGGGACACTATAGAGTGACGCACACAGCTGGGAGACCAGAGGACACTAAAGAGTGACGCACACAGCTGGGAGACCAGGGGACACTAAAGAGTGACGCACACAGCTGGAGACCAGGGGACACTATAGAGTGACGCACACAGCTGGGAGACCAGGGGACACTAAAGAGTGACGCACACAGCTGGAGACCAGGGGACACTATAGAGTGACGCACACAGCTGGGAGACCTAGGTTGCATTCGAATAGTCCATTTAGCTTAGGAACCTTCCTAACGGAGTGAAATGACCCGGAGGTCCCTCAGTGGCAGCCATGATAAGAGCCGTTCCAATTCTCTAAATTAAAAGGAAAGGAGGTTTCAAACTTCCTTTATAACCTCCTTTAGCTTAGGAACCACTGGACCTCCCTAACCGAAAGGAGAGGAGAAAATGCTGCCCCACAATGCCTTGCGGCCGCAGCATTTGCCGTCACACAACAGTCGGCCGTTCACGGAAACAACCGATTATGAACGAGAAATGATATCATGAAAGTTACGGTGCTTATTAAGCATTTTAAAACGTATGTGGTAAGTTGCCAAAGTGCTTTGTTTTGAACGTTCATCAGTATTATAATCAAAAAGAGAAATATGAACGTTAGTTTTTACTGAAATGATCAAATAAAGTCAACATTTCACAGTCTTTACTGAGCTGTGTGGGGTTTGTTCAACTTTGAAAAGATGTTTGAATGGTGATATACACAGTGATAGATGTTAAGGACTAACGGTTATAATAAATACATTTGTATTGATTTTAAGATCTTTTCACACAATCATACGTATTGGGATCATTTGTATTAATGTGGACCGGAGGGAGAGGGTGACGAGCATAAGTTTCACTTTCCTTTTTTATTTCAATTCCAACTTTGGTCATGAAGAATATGTTTCTCTGTTGTCCCCGTTCATAAAGCATAACAGCATCAGAGCACGGTGCAGAGTCTCTAGATGAGTTTACAGTAGTCCCTCGTTCTTATTAAACATCCATGTTGTAGTCCGCTGTATAGAAAACTGTAGTTTCCATAGTTTCCCCACAGCAGCAGGCGCACATTCATGACGTCCGCTGGCGCATCATAAACACGTCGGATAGTGAAAGTGCAGTCGATTCTCTAAAGTACCGCAGTCTCTTCTCCTAAGTCCTTTTGAATTCTCCTATCCACTATCCCTTAACCCCGTGACGTTTCACTCAGAGGTCAAGGGATAGACGATAGGGTTAGAATTTAGGAGCTGTTTTTTTGGAGTATTCGAACGCAACCCAGAGGACACTAAAGAGTGACGCACACAGCTGGCAGACCAGGGGACACTAAAGAGTGACGCACACAGCTGGAGACCAGGGGACACTATAGAGTGACGCACACAGCTGGGAGACCAGAGGACACTAAAGAGTGACGCACACAGCTGGGAGACCAGAGGACACTAAAGAGTTTCAAATCAGCATCTCTTAGACAAAAGATGTAAATGAATAACTCAAATAAAACTCCAAACATCTTTAATTGTGTTACTTTTTTGTAAAGCTCTTTTAGTTTTAAACCTGATGTTTATAAGCTTCTTAGTTTTTGCAACAGTCTGTAAATATGCACAACTTTATAATAAAATGCACACTTTTTTTCTAGACTAAACACAGGTATGATCCTAAGTTAAAACATATGAGGTTATCATGAGGTTGTTAACATCGCAGTTTATCAGTGGATGTTTGCTGGAACTACTTGTAAACAGCGTGTTTCCTGACGGACACACACAGCGTGACTCCGGTCAGGTAGAGACCGGTCTCAAGTCAGCACCGCTGCAGACTCGCTGTTTGAGGGCTTGATAGCCCACTCCCCCTCCACACCGCTCCACACTCGTTGGTTTGGAACAGCACTTAATGTGGCGGACCCTCCGCGCGAACGCGCAAACGCGCAAACGGAGGGGTAGTGTGTAGGGGTAGGGTGTAGGGGGCGGTTTGGGATTGGGCCTGAGTGTTTCTATATAACACACCTTCCTCCTCTTCCTCTTCTTCCTCCTCTGGGGGTTAGGGGGCTAACCCTAACCCTATCTCCCTGGTCCCCTGCTTGAGCTTCAATCTCAGGATCCATGTATTTGTGATCCTCGGTAATCCTGTCATGTACAAAATACTGAGTTTTCTTTCATAAATGTTGGCATTTTTTTCAAAATCTAAAAATTAGGAATTTTTTTCCAAAATCTGACTTGTTTTCCAAAATCTCCAAAATCAGATTTGTTGACTTTTTCAAAAAAATCTGACTTTTTCAAAATATTCTGACTTTTTCAAAAAAATGACTTTTTCTAAAAAAATCTGACTTTTTCTAAAAAAATCTCAAAATTCTGACTTTTTTTCCAAAACCTCAAAATTCTGACTTTTTTTCCAAAATCTGACTTTTCTCCAAAATCTGACTTTTTCTCCAAAATCTGACTTTTTCAAAAATCACAAAATTCTGACTTTTTCAAAAATGATGTATTTTTCACAAAATTCTGACTTTTTCAAAAATGATGTCTTTCTCAAAATATTCTGACTTTTTCTCAAAATTCTGACTTTTTCTCAAAATCTCAAAATTCTGACTTTTTCTCCGAAATCTGACTTGTTCTCCAAAATCTCCAAAAATCATAATTTTCCTAATAATTCTGAATTTTGAGTGAAATTCCCCCCCCCCCCCCCCCCCCCAGGCTCCTGGTCCTTCTCATGTGTATTGATGATCCTTGCCCCCCCCCCCCCCCCCCAGGCTCCTGGTCCTTCTCATGTGTATTGATCCTTTCCCCCCCCCCAGGCTCCTGGTCCTTCTCATGTATTGATCCTTGCCCCCCCCCAGGCTCCTGGTCCTTCTCGGTGTCGGAGCTGGCGGCCCCCGGAGTGGAGGTGGGCCGGCTGACGGCCTCGGACTCGGACCTGGGGGAGAACGCCCTGCTGGAGTTCAGCATCCTGGACTCTGAGCAGGGAGACATCTTCAACATCTCAGCGAGGGAGCAGGAGGCGGTCGTCACACTCAACAAAGTGAGTGAGGAGACACATCCTGTTTCCTCTCCTAACCTCACCTCCTAACCTCCTCTCCTAACCTCACCTCCTAACCTCCTCTCCTAACCTCCTCTCCTAACCTCCTAACCTCCTAACCTCCTCTCCTAACCTCCTAACCTCCTAACCTCCTCTCCTAACCTCCTAACCTCCTCTCCTAACCTCCTCTCTTTACCTTTTCCCCTCACACTCTCTCCTGACCTCCTCTCCTAACCTCCTCACCTTCTAACCTCCTAACCTGACCTCCTAACCTCTTCTCAAAATACAGACTTTTTCCCATAATCTCAAATGTCTGACTTTTTCCCCAAAATTCTGACTTTTTCTGAAAATCAAAAAAATTTGATTTTCAGAATTCTGACTTTTAAGAATTTAAATATATGTGACCCCCAGCTGCTGGACTACGAGAGCTGTAACTCGTACACCTTCTCAGTGGAGGTGAGCAACCCCCTGCTGGACCCCCGGTTCCTGAGGAGGGGCCCCTTTAAGGACCAGGCCACGGTGAGGGTCTCGGTGCTGAACGCTGACGAACCCCCCCGCTTCTCCCAGAGCCGGTACCACCTGGACGTGTCAGAGAACTGCCCCCCCGTGTGCTCCGTGGGCCGGGTCAGCGCCACGGACCCCGACACCGGCCAGAGCTCCAACATCAGGTCTAAAGCATTTATATTACAATAAGTCTGATTTTTTCCCGAATTCTCAAAATGTGGACTTTTTCCCGAAATTGTGACTTTTTCTGAAAATCAAAAAAATCTGACTTTTTTTCACAAAATCTCAGAATTCTGACTTTTCAGAATTAAAATATTTGTGACTTTAACAGACTACCCGCTCAGAGGAATGGAAACACTGTATGTCCACGACATGTTGGGTCCTTGAGTTAAACCTGGAAGGTCCTTATAGACTGTCTGGTGAGGGACTTGATCTTATAGACTCTCTGGTGAGGGTCTTGATCTTATAGACTCTCTGGTGAGGGTCTTGATCTTATAGACTGTCTGGTGAGGGACTTGATCTTATAGACTGTCTGGTGAGGGACTTGATCTTATAGACTCTCTGGTGAGGGACTTGATCTTATAGACTCTCTGGTGAGGGTCTTGATCTTATAGACTCTCTGGTGAGGGTCTTGATCTTATAGACTCTCTGGTGAGGGACTTGATCTTATAGACTCTCTGGTGAGGGACTTGATCTTATAGACTGTCTGGTGAGGGACTTGATCTTATAGACTGTCTGGTGAGGGACTTGATCTTATAGACTCTCTGGTGAGGGACTTGATCTTATAGACTGTCTGGTGAGGGTCTTGATCTTATAGACTGTCTGGTGAGGGACTTGATCTTATAGACTGTCTGGTGAGGGACTTGATCTTATAGACTCTCTGGTGAGGGACTTGATCTTATAGACTGTCTGGTGAGGGTCTTGATCTTATAGACTGTCTGGTGAGGGACTTGATCTTATAGACTGTCTGGTGAGGGACTTGATCTTATAGGCTGTCTGGTGAGGGACTTGATCTTATAGACTGTCTGGTGAGGGTCTTGATCTTATAGACTGTCTGGTGAGGGACTTGATCTTATAGACTCTCTGGTGAGGGTCTTGATCTTATAGACTCTCTGGTGAGGGACTTGATCTTATAGACTCTCTGGTGAGGGTCTTGATCTTATAGACTCTCTGGTGAGGGACTTGATCTTATAGACTGTCTGGTGAGGGACTTGATCTTATAGACTCTCTGGTGAGGGACTTGATCTTATAGACTCTCTGGTGAGGGACTTGATCTTATAGACTGTCTGGTGAGGGACTTGATCTTATAGACTGTCTGGTGAGGGACTTGATCTTATAGACTGTCTGGTGAGGGACTTGATCTTATAGACTCTCTGGTGAGGGACTTGATCTTATAGACTGTCTGGTGAGGGACTTGATCTTATAGACTCTCTGGTGAGGGACTTGATCTTATAGACTGTCTGGTGAGGGACTTGATCTTATAGACTGTCTGGTGAGGGACTTGATCTTATAGACTCTCTGGTGAGGGACTTGATCTTATAGACTCTCTGGTGAGGGACTTGATCTTATAGACTGTCTGGTGAGGGACTTGATCTTATAGACTGTCTGGTGAGGGTCTTGATCTTATAGACTGTCTGGTGAGGGACTTGATCTTATAGACTGTCTGGTGAGGGACTTGATCTTATAGACTGTCTGGTGAGGGTCTTGATCTTATAGACTGTCTGGTGAGGGACTTGATCTTATAGACTGTCTGGTGAGGGACTTGATCTTATAGACTGTCTGGTGAGGGTCTTGACCTTATAGGCTGTCTGGTGAGAGACTTGATCTTATAGACTTGTGATGGACTGAATATTATTAATATAATATTCTGCCCTTCCTGCAGGTTCTCCATCGACCCTCAGTCCGACCCGGAGGCTCTGTTCAGGATCTCCTCAGACTCGGGCTTCATCAGCACGGTGATGGAGCTGGACCGCGAGCAGGAGCAGTGGCACAACATCACCGTCATCGCCACGCAGCGCGGTACGGACTCACCTTTCACCCTGAGCGCCGCCTAAAGGCTGAAACCACCAGACTCAGAGACAGTTTCCTCCCACAGGCCATCAGACTGCTAAACACCTGAGCTCTGTGAAGGGCCCCGATAAACATTCCTGTTGTCAATCTACTAATTTATATAAATAGCT